AAGATTACAGTATACATCTTAACTTCTCAATCTGATCATTACAATACAGCTTCTCTCACAAGTCCAGCTGCCTCAGCATGATTGCTGCAGAACAAGATAACATAACACTGTGGCACAGAAGTTACTTTAGAAATACCTTTAAGTACATTACATCTTTTAAGCACTGACTTTTGACAACCTACTCAGTGTGATATTTCTGAAAGTAGAGCTGAAAGTTCAATTTAGCCATTTTTACATCTTACAAAGCCAGGTGGCCTGAATAAATGGAGTGAAGGAGACCACACAGAACATCTGCATTGCAGCTGATATGTGGTCTGATGAGTTCTTTGTGTCCTGCCCCATGCAGAGGCACTACACTGCCTCTCAGTTCCGGCCTCATGGGCTGCACAGCTTGCTCAAAACGCACCTGATGGGCTTGAAAGCTGAAAGTGGGGAGGGATGTCATGTGGAACCACTGGGGCACAGCTGGGACAAGGCTGAACATCACACTGCCAGTGGGTGATCTTGAACACTTTGATTAAACAGATCATGTATAAAACTATTATTCCAGGCGAAGGTTGGTTGAAAAACCAAGGTTTAAGAAATATATTTCTCAGGTCTGAGAGATCTGAAATGTTTTGCTGTCATTTTCAATATTTCACACATATTTTGAATTGTCTAGAGGGGCTGAAAAGTGAATAAAAGCATTTTTGTTCTTTGTCACATTACTGGTTTGTTGGAATCTGTTTCTTTTGTGTGTTGTTTTGTTACATTTTTAAACTATGGAGTTATGTTCTAGGACTAGAGGTAGATGTAGATGTACTTAGGATTTGATTTTGAAAAAAATTTAAACATAACCAAAATATAGCCAAATCTGAATTGCTCTGAAATACAGTATGAGGTAGATGAATAACCTGATAATACATTTTTTTATTTAATCACTATTTCTGTATAACTATGTTTTGATGAACTTTAAAAACTAAAGCATTATAAAGAAATTCGTTGACTTGGAAAACAATGGAAAAGCAAGTAGTGCCAACACTGAAAATTAATAAAATGTATAACTGGTAATTAATTAACTTGTTTTAAAAGAGTCTTTGGAGAGAGAATTAAAGACAATTTTTGGAATTGATTTAAAATCACACTATCATTTGCTAAAAAGGAAATCAGGTTACAATTTTATCATGTGATGATGTAATTAGGAGCAATATGTTTTGGTGTCTCTGTCATGAGTTTAAATATGGCTGCTTAATATTCAAACAATAGGGAAGAAGAAAACTTAGACTCTTTTATATTCTAAGGCTTGTCAGCCTCCAGAGAGAGACATTTTCAGTACATTCCTTTCACCCTCTTAACAGAAGTCTTTAAGTAAATAGCTGTTGGTGAGTGTTTGGAGGGCACTTTCAAAGTGAAAAGTACTTCAGCACTGGAAAATCTTGAACATTAATGCAGGTAATAAAAACAGTTAAATCCAACTTAAAGCTGGATTTTCATCTCTTTTCTGTTTTTTAGAATCATCTTTCATTTCCCTGTCCTGGGCTAAAACTTCACTGAGATGTTTTCCCAGTGTGTTTTTTAGATTGTATTTATGTCTTACAGGGGCAACCAACAATGCTAAAGAAGAGACAGGCAGAACTGTTCTGATGTGACACTCTCAAAGATAATCATTACTTCTGAAATCATCACTTCTGTGTGCAAAAGCATGTAAGCTGTAAGTCTTTGTCTAAGAAAATTTCTGCTCTGGATTAAAATTATTAATACATAATTTAGATTTTTTTTTTTAGGGCAATATTGAAGTAACCCCTACCTTAACTTCTGCTTACTCCTCAGTTCCTTAGCCATTCCAATAGTATTAGGCTACCAGCAAGATCCCTGGGATGTATAGGATACTTTCCTAAATTAAAATAAGGGGTTGGTCAATACTATAGAACCGTTTTGTTTTCCAGACCTGACTAAGGAACACGTTTTTATAGCCAGTTCGTTCAACTATTGGCTAATCCATCAATCTACAGAATCTGCTGTCTTTAAAAGCCTAAATTATAACCCCAAAATTTTAAATTCTAGCCCCAAATAACATGACACAGAGATTAAACATACTTTTAAGTAATTTAAATCAAGAAGAACATATCCAACTGAATTCATCACAGCAGAAACACTCTAGCTTGTCATCTTTTCATGCAAGCTACATAACTGAACATTTATTAGAACAATTTTTAAATATGATAAACACTTATTTTTACACACCAACCCCTAATAAAAATGTAATTTTTAGCTCATTAAAAGAAAACAGAGCTGTAAATAAAAGTTCTTTTATTATCACAGGGAAAACTATTCCTGTACATCTAACAAAAAAAGGATTCCCTAATTCTGTAGCACTTCCCTGACTGACCCCTTCCAGCTACACTCATGCTTGGAAAGTTTATCTAAACATCTATCCCACATATTCTTTTCTGAAAACAAAGCATAAAACTTGCTTTGAAATTATAAGGCTAAAACTTTGAAGGCAGAAGAAACATAAAATTATCTTCACATTGCTCCCTATTTCTGTTTCACTAATCCTCATGTTTGAAAATACAGTATAACTATTATTTATTTTTCTATTAAAAAAGGCTTATACCACATATAGGAAAACCTAGCTGTCGACTAACTAACTAAATCTGTTCAGCAACAAAGATTCATCAAAAATGTTATTCTTTTTAAGAAATTTATAAAAATTGTAGCTGAACAACTGCATCTAATCTGCTCATTGTTCTCTTTAAATTGAATAAAACTTTTTCTAATTGGCAGGAATTTTATAATACACAGGAATCTTCATAATGTAAGGCACAAGGCACAAATAGGTATTAGGTCTTTAAAAATATTAGCAGTTGTGGATCCTAGCACTGTTCATCATTTTCTACTGCATTAGGTAGATTTCTTGTACAGTCACAAGGCAAGTATTTCTCTATTCTAGCTGTAATATGCTAGGGTTTTCTTTTCAATACCTTCAGGATTTGAGGACTGAATAAGGGAATTATTCTTATCCCTATAAAAAGATAACACAGCATGCATTTAAAGTAATGTTTATAATCAAGACTTTATAGCTATAATGAATTAATATAGGAAATTACTGGGGGTTTTAAAATACAAGACCAATGGAAGGACAAGCCTGAAACCTGTCAGGCAAGTTATATGGCTTGACAAGTCATGCAACTTGTTGACAACTTTTGCACGCTCAAATAGCTCTGAAATAGATTTATCTAGAGGAAAAAGCTGCTGTTTGTCTTTATTGAATACTATACGAGTATTAAAAGCAAGATATATATTTGAAAGTGCTTAGAGGAATATTAATGTACATTGGTATAGATACGCTCAAGTGACATTTTTCTCCTTTTAGCTACGTTACTCTCAGAGCATTTTACTCAAACCAGGAAGGAGTAACAAAACTGAAGTGACTATATTCATACAGTGTAGCCTAACTGTATTCATGTATACGCTGAAGAGTGTAAAAACTCAAGAGTCTTATTCCTCTTGAAATTCTGCTTCTCAGAGATTTTAGTCTAAAAAAATTGAACACTCTGCTGTCAAGGTAAAGGCCATCTCTCTCTTGAAGAAAAAAAGTATGGTCCAGACATTCCAGAAGAATGAGGAGGGAGATGAAAAAAACTTGCCAAGAAAACCCAACTCACAGTGGAAAGTACCTCCCTGGTGAAGCAGAACAGAAAAGTGAAACAAACCTCAGAATTTCTGACCTTTACTGTGTGTGAATAACATTTTGCAAAGTTTGGTAAAGAAGAATGCAAATTATCCCTCACTATTCAGAGACAACCTAGTGGGATTTTCAGATTTAGTATCCATTTATGTATTTTCTCCCTCTTTTTCATTTCAGATCTAGAATAAACAAAAGTTACAGCTCCCCAGTGCATACAGACAATACTCTCTATGAGGAATAGACAGTATTTTGTTCCATTACGAATGCTTAGCACATTGGTTCTCAGTTTGTGGTACTACAAATAGCCCTCATCCTGAAAGTTCACCGAAATGCTGGAACGTTGAAACTAAAAGAAACTGCACTGCCTAATGCTGCTTTTCTTCTTGCGAGATCTAATTTCTCAATGAAAAAATAATTTCTATTTCTCAATGAAACAGGGATCCAATATTCACACTAGAAGTTGGAATTTTATTTTGGATTTGTAGTTTTGGTACCATCTTAGGTATGGTTACCAACAGAGTGAAAGATTTTGCTGTATACAGTCTTAAATCTCAAAGGACTAGTTTGTAGCCCTTGGGACAAACATTCAGTGTAACAAGAGTCTAGATTACTGGTTGCTTATTTAATTTCAATTTATAGCATGGCACCAGTTTCCCACAAAACAAACACTTTGTTATCTCCACTGTCTCAACAGCCTCACTTAAACCAGATATTCTAGTCTTCAAGTGTTTTTTTTAGACTGAGATTTCCACAGAAATACACACAGTGGGCTGGGTTCCCAGTTTCAAGGCAACCTTAGTTAACTGCTCCTTGCTGTTTATTTTCACCAATTTCTATCTTATTCTTTAGCCAAAGTCTATTTATCATCCATAATCACATTTCCCTTCTTTCACATGTACTTTTCCTGAGCTCATGACTTTAAATGCCTACTTTTTTCATTTTGAAAAGACATTGTGTGACAGAAGCCTTGTTTCATTCTCTGCACATACTCTTATTACTAATGGACCTATCTATTTTTATTACCTTGACCCTATTTGCACGGTCATGCAATGGAACACTGCTTACTTCTCTCCCTCTCCTGGTCATGGGTCTGGAAAGCTACCACATGACAGGCACAGACTTTCAGCCTAACACAGGGCTGAAGTAAAATCTTTATTTCAAAGGGAAAGCATATTTTTTAACAGTGGAAAGAAGGAGGAAGGAAAAAACAGGCATAAACCTCATCCTTCTGTTCAGTGCTGCTGTTTTAAAGAGCCACAGAAAAAAAAGGAAATTTGTAAAACCATTTCAGCAAGAGACCTTTTTTTTGACAAATGTACAGGAAACAATATGAGGAGTTGAGGTTCTTTTATTTTACACCTAATACAATTCAAATTTAAAGAATTACTTGCACAAAAAAATAAACAGATTTTGTATAAAAATTTATCATCACTTTAACACCTTTTTTTCTTCTTATGGCCCCTGCCTTCTCTGGAGCAGAAACATATAAAGACTAATGGCACAAGTTTGTTGTATTCTACAGCATTTTTTGTTTTTACATACTCAAGTACCCTAAAGGACAACAGCCCGCTGTATACAAGAACCATTTTTTTCAGCCTGCTGAATGAAGTTTCATAAAGAACCAAAGCTATAAAGGCATTTTAAAAGCCACTGTCTCTTTTTCCTTTCAGAAGCACTGACTTTTAGCACTATTAATATACATAGTGTTACGTAACAATCTTGAGTACAGTACATGCAGCAGAATATACCTGTTGTATATAAAACATACATTTAAAATCTTGACTTATCGAATTTTTGGAAGATAGAGTAATTGTAGAATGCCCACTGCTTAGAGAAAATGGTTTGATAGTACAAATGTCTGCATATGTTGGCCACTGGAACAATCCAAGGCTCACTGGAATAGTCTCTGTAGCACATCAAGGTGCATAAATAATGTACCTACAATATTAAAACATGACTTAGCAAAACCAATAGTTCAAGATCTTATGACTGGGGGCTGGAACTAGAAGATCTTTACAGTCCTTTCCAACCATACCATTCTATGATTGCTATGTTACTCTTCAGTGGTTGCAAGGAAGTGTAGTGAGAGTCGCCCCTCTCCTCCCAAGGCCTTTATAAAACCTTTAGTATGCAATTTTTTGCCAGATGAACAAACTTATTTATGTCTACTGCCTCTTCTCTTCATTGCAGCTGTACACTGTGGACAGTACCACTTCCCTTTCGGTGCTTCTGTCAGTCCAACGCATCCATAGTGGAACCACTCAATAGGGCACTATAAAAAGTTAAAAGAGAGGATTTGTGACTTCAGATTTTTTCAAAATGCATATCACAAATACAATTCTATGAAAATGAAACATGAGTGAAAGCATAGATTCTGCATTTCACACAAGTCACAGGACAAAAGGAGAGAGGAAGATCCACAACATACAATCAGAACGCTAAGAAAAATTATAAAAATTCTAGGAGTCATATATGGACTTGCATTACAGAGAAAAATAAGTATGTTCTGCTTTGAAATACTAAGGCTGACAAAGAAATCTTATCACTCACTTCTGTTTAAATGCAGTTATCTCAGTAAATACATTATTGTATTCAACTGTTATTTGAAACTTTTTTACTTGAAAAGGACAACTCTTATTAGTAGTGAAATAGCTGAAATTCTCAGAAATAAAGGATATTTTGAAGGAGGGCTTTTTGAACCTAGCAAAGGCAGCAGGTTTCTAATAGAACCTAAGCTGTGCAGAGACATGAGAAATTTCCTGAAGGATGGTTCAAATCATATGAACTTTACTCTAAAAAAGCTCTACTGAAAAACAAACTCTGAAAAAAAGCAACTCCTGCATGCAAAAGTTATATGCACAAGCCTCTCATGAACCTTTTGAACTTTGTTACTTACATCTTGGTTATCACAGCCTACCATTTCACCATAGGACACCTAGTAAAATAAGAAAAAAAAACCTTAGCAATTAACATTTCGAAAGAACCACATTCATATTTCTTCCTTTGAGGTTTTTCCATTAATAGCAGTAACAACATTTTCATTTTACTTTTGTTACACAATGTAAACGTCATCAAGATAATTCATAGTGAATTGATTTTCCAAAACTGTTTATGCAAAAGAAGATATATCTGCATATTTCAGATTGGATAAACACTAAATTCACTGCAAACCCCCTCAATTTTTTATTTTAATTATTTCTGAAGTCTCCATTACCAGATTTGTAACTCTCCAAGGATATTGCATAATTTAAAAAACAGACTATTTTTAACTTCAACAATTCATTATTCACATCACCAGTAAGCAAATAAAACCAGATCAGAAGTTCAAGAGTAAAAATATAGTTTTTTCAAAATTAGAATTCAGAGAAGGAAGTTCAGCTACATCAAAACAGCAGTAATAATAAACTGTAGCTGTATTTCAATTTGGAGGCCATCCTTACCTGATTACAAATACAGTAACGTGGCTCATTTGGATCATAGGTCCAATCAACCTGGCTATTAGAATCAGACTCTGGTATTACTGCTGTTTGCTGAGACAGTTCTTGTGCCAGTGCAGATGAAGAAGAACATGATGATAGAGAGGAAGAAGAAGATGACGATGAGGACTGCTGACTTGAGGATTTGTTGTTGTTTCTGAGGAAGAATAAAAAAAAAGGAAAAACGTAGCATGGATGATTTATTTTCTACCAAGTAAAAGAATCACTAAACAAATACTTTGTTGACTCTGAAATACTGCAGTATGTAAATCCCAAAGCTGTCATTCACCATCATATTTCACTCAACCACTGCAAGCACTGGAATGCACCCACTGTATGCTCTTGGAAAAGGAAACAAGCTTACAAGCGCAGGACGTGCGTTAATCAATGGAATTTAACAGCTCTAAACTGTCAAGTGGCTTTAACAAATGCTTTTCTTCACAATGTTTTCCATCAACAGCCTTGGTGTTAAGATCTTATAAAAACTGTTACCAATAAAACAAGAATTTACATATAAATAATGTCATATGTCATGTACACTGTTTTGAAGATGACTGATTCTCTGTTAAACTCCACTCAACCATCAGCAATCACTCCATAGGAATGGTGCCAGAATAAAATTTCTCTGCATTTGCTTATAGGTCAGATCTGACACCCAAGATATTCATAGATGAAAAATGCTTCTAAAACAGCATTATTAACTGAGTTGTGAACACACAAATTTGAATGAAGAAAAAAACTCAAGACAATTTAAAAGGATGGGCATTTTGAGACAAATTCTTTCAAATACAAGTTTTGATTGTTGAACGTGTTGTGATATTTTGTTGTTAAAAATGTTTTAAAACTTCATTTCAATCAGAAATTAAATTTATTTCCTGTTCTAGATGGTCAGTCATTAGAAAGTCTCATGTTTACTTGAAACTGGCATCAAGTATCTCAGATTATTTCAAAACCATCTACAAAGCATTACACAGTAATTCCCAGCAACTGCTGTTACATCAAATCTCTCCAAAACACAGAAAAGTGAGGGAAGAAACTTGACTGTACCTCAGATAAAAAAGCAAATCAATGGAGTGAGTTTGCTTAAAGAAAAAGAAGTGGAAGGATTAAAGAACACAGCCCTGCACAAAAAATGGCCAAGGGTAGTAACTACCATCTGCTGATTCCCGCCCCCACCCCCAGATATTAAATAAAATGTATTTCTAATATGGCCCATGACCTTTCGAAAGAAAGCTCATCTGTCTTAAAAGTTATAGTTGCAGTCAACAAGTAAGAAAACCTACTTGCTTTTTCTGCCACTTCGTGAATCTGTGGTTGATGAACTTAACGTCTGAGTTAATGTAGATGCCAGAGCTGATGATGAATATCCAGCTGAATCTCTGGACAATGAAAATTCTCTTCCAAGCTGAAAATCATTGTTCTTAAATGCTTCATAGCTGGCTTTTAGACTGGATGTTCGTCTTCCCTCCTTCATCTAAAAGTAATGCTGATATTGTATCAGATTACGCAGTAAAGCTCCTAAGTAAGGCTACTAACTGCTAATAATATGCACAGGTTCACTTGTTACTTTGTTAACAAAATTACATACATAAAGTAGTTAAATGTGTAAGAATATATTCCAGGAAAAGTCAGAAAACAAGCTGTCCCTTTAGGCAAGCTATACAGGATGAAACTGTCGCATATTAAAAAATTATAATAAAAGAACTGAATCACATCAGCTGAAAGTGATCATGGGAATTCGGATTAAAACAAAACAAAAAACAAACAAACAAACAAAAAAACACCAAAAAACCAGTCACTAGCCTGCCAGCCTTTCCTCTTAATCTTAAGTGGATAGCAGAATGACAAGAATATTTTGACATTACCTGTGCTGTGGCTTGCACTGCTTGAGCTGCCGCCATGGTAATTGCACCGGCCCCGGATCCTGAAGATAATGAGCCCAGGTTATATGATGCCAATGGTTGAGAAGAGTTTGTATTGTATGCATTGTTTGAAGAGGATGATGAATTACTGTTTCGACACCCTTGATGAATAGAACACATTTATGAAATTCAAAATGAAACTAAATTCCTTTGCATTTAAGAAGAGTTATATGACAACCAGTGAAAGAGTAGGAACTCCATTTATGCATCAGAGCAGTCTAATCATTTGGAAAAAAGTTTTTAAAAGTAATTAGACACAGCCAGTATTTGTTTATGGGGGCGGGGGGGGGGGAAGTTTTTTCCCCTATCTATCTTCATGTGCTAAGAAAGACAGCTCTCACAATGATACTCAGCTATTGAAGAACAGATGCAGCTGCTATACATATGCCTACATTGAAACAATTCTCACTACTATAATCATCAAGAAGAGGGTATAATGATCGCACACCTATACTGTTTCTGAAGTAAAACTTCCAACAATCTTAATTCTAGAAACTACAGATCAGTTTCAATGCAACACAATTTCCAGGGTCATCTGCAGAATGACAGCTGCTCAAATACAGCTACATTTTATTTGCAGCCTCATGAAAAGTTTCTTCCAAAGAAAATTGAAATTGTCACGACTGAAATGACTTAAAACTGACAAACATGACTGAGGTAGTTCACTACTACTACTAAGACTCCTTAGTCTTCCATTTTCAGAAAAGAAATTATGAAACACCTTCATATTGAAAACAGGCAGAAAGGTTTAGGCTTTTTTAGTCACTATATACAAAAAAGACTTCTCTTTTGACATAGACAATACATCAAAAAATGTTATTTTTGGACCAACTCTTAAAAAAAAGGTGCGAATATTCTTTACCCTTACTTTGGAAATTGTTGTATGCATTTTTTCCCCAAAAATAATGCATTAAGCTCTTATATTTCTACTACTAGCTGAACGAAACTGTACTGTTATCTTCCTCAAAGTGTAGATAAAAAGAAACTGCCATCATACAGCTGTTAAATGACAACAAATACACACTTAATGGACAACACAGAGGAGTAAGAATGCCTGCAATTTCTCATGTTTCAAGTGACTGAAAATCCCAGGAAAAGGGGTATCAGTCTCAGATTGAGGACTGGTTGAATGGCACATCCCAGAAGGTCATTATCAATGGCACAGGGTCTAGAAATTCCACAGAGGAAAAGTGCATTGCACCTGGAGAGTAATAACCCCATGCAACATCGCAGGCTGTGAGCTGACCTGCTGAAAAGCCACCCTGTGGAGAAGGACCTCAGGGTCCTGGTGGACAACAAACTGTCTCTGAGCCAGCAGTGTTCCCTGGGGGCTAAGAAGGCCAATGGTGTCCTGGGGTGCATTAGGAAAAGCATTGCCAGCAGGTTGAGGGAGGTGATCCTGACCTTCTACTCAGCCCTAGCAAACCTGCGTCTGGAGTGCTGTGTCCCGTTCTGGGCTCCTCAGTATGAGACATGGAGTTCCTGGAGTGGGTCCAGTGGAGTGCAAAAAAGATGATTAAGGTACTAAAGTACCTCACTTATGAGGAAAGGCTGAGGGAGCTGAGCCTGTTTGGCCTCAAGAAGAGATGACTGAGAGAGGACCCCATCCCTGTCTATGAGCGTGTCAAGGGAATGGAACCAGGCTCTGCTTGGTGGTGCCGAGCAATAGGACAAGAGGCAATGGGCAGAACCTGATGCACAGGAAGCTCCACATTAATATAAGGAAGAATTTCTGTACTGTGGGGGTGACCACACACAGGACAGGTTGCATAGGAACAGGCTGCCCAGAGAGACTGTGGAGTCTCCCTCACTGGAGATATTCAAGAACTTTCTAGGCACAATCCTGTGCCATGTGCTCTGGCATGACCCTGCTTGAGCAGGGAGGCTGTACCAGATGACTCACTGGGGTCCCTTCCAACCTTACTTATTCCATAATTCTGTGATTTCAGAAGACTAATTCACAAATATAATTAAGTTTCTCTTCTTCTGACTAAAAAGCAATGAAATGAAAGACAATTAGGATTACCTGGTGTATTTTCCTTAGAAGCATCTGATGTCAGGGTAGATAGAAGAGCTTCAGATTTAAACTTCTTTTCAGGAACATGATCTGTTGTACTATGGTGAGAAGATGGATTGTGTTTCCTTTCTAAATGAAATAAATGAAGATAACTTAAATGTAAAATCTATTCAGCTTGAAAGGCAAATTATACTAGCACTTTCAACTAATTCGTACCAGCAAAACCTATTTCATTCTTGCATTTCTTCTTAACAGATATTATTAATATTTATAATACTTTGTTTTCTCCTTGCAATGATGGAGGGAAAAAAGTTCTGAACCATCTTTTTCCTCATACTACTCAACAAAAAAAAGAAAAAAAAATCAAAGGAAACATAAAAAGTGGTCATCTTTATAAGTTTCAAATACTTACTCTCTACTGGAGTGTGAGAATGGGAGTGATGGTTATTCACAGGCTGTGCTGGTGTATCCAGCTCCAGAGACCCTAAGAGGGAGGTAAGAAGAATACAAAAATTGAGTTGGCACGGTTTTAACTTTTACATACTAAAGGGATCTTTAAAATATTAACCTAATCACAATGCAGTTATATTTATTTTAATCAGAAGAATTTTTGCTGGAGTTGAAACCCTTTCTACAGTACAACCAGGAGCCAGTTAGATTAATTCTCAAATAAAAATTGGTGACTGCTACTGTCCAACTGCTGAAATCAAGAACTTAAAATCAAGGCCAATAAGAAGAACCAACAACATTGCCCTCACCATGCCACTTAATCAAATGAGTTGCAAAATGGCAGCACCAGAAGTACTGACAATCTACACCAGTATGAACAATGTAAACTGTATAAAAAAGGCATCTTGTCCCACTGAGTCGACCTTGTCACATTCAGTCAAAACTCAAGAAAACTTTCATCTTTCAAGATGGTTTAATGTTCAAAAGGGCTCCAGATCATCATCCAGATTTTCTTAACATCCAAAATACAGAGCAACAATACAAATAAAAGCAAAACAAAAAAACCCACAAAACCAACAAAACAACAACAAACCCCACCCCCACCCTCCCCCCAGAAAAGGAAAAAGTCAGATGGGCATAAATCTAAGTATATGTCTAAGAATAATATTGTAAGATGAGGCTAAATAATCACAGCATAGGAGAGACTCTGACTATGAATTTGGAACAATATACAACATTTTGTTCATCAATCTCTAACAAAAAGATTCTGAAGTAGTTGTAATACCTACTGACTTACAATTACACAGAAGACAAAACAAGAAAGCAATTCACATTTATTTTTCAAAATCTGTAGCATTTCTTTACCTCTTCCAGTGCTTTCAAAAAGCATTGAAATACATGAGTAATACATAAATATTACAAAAGTTTAAATGTAATTATTTTAGAAGAGGAACAAAGCATAAGGAGCTATTTTGACGGAGTGAACTTCAATCACGTTATGAACTTGCCCAAAGGCTGCCCTCTGGTGGGTCTTTAACCTTATGTATTTACTTACTCTGAAAGCTAAAAATGTAAGTCTCCTACTTTTAGCTTTATTTAAAAACAAAAAAGGCAACAAAACCCTCAAACCAAACAAACCTTAAAGATGCAACATGCAGTCTAGTGCTTCTCTATTTTGAGCTCTTGAAATCCTATCTAGCAACCCCTCCAAACACATGGTTCAACAAAAGGTGGCACCACATCCTAAAACCAGCTGGGATTTAAATTAAACTAAACTAGTCATTTTCTGTAATTGCCAGTTAATTAATAGCATTTAATTTAGAGTTTTCTTTTATTGTGCCTGTTACTTGTAATAGCAATTACAAATAAAATAGCCCAAACTCCCAACTTATACAAAATAGCCACAAAAAGTTCCAAGAAAGAATACTTACTCCTAATATCCCCAAATGGCTTAAGTCAATTTTCATTATCTTTGGCTATGAGGACAGCCACTAACTCCATAATCACAGTAGTTAAATCAAATTAGAAATTTATCAAAATCACATTTGCATTTGATATCTAAATGCTGATAATTACAGAAGAGCCAGATTCTTCTACACCAAGGTGGCAAAAAAAGCTGCAACTTTACATTTTTATGCACATTCTGAATATCAGCATGGTTGTATTTAACATGCAGGTTTCTTACCTAAAAATACTTTTCCTTCATTGGCTCATTATAGAACAACCCATTCTTGCCCTTTAAAACAGAAAACCACCAAGTACATGGAAAACTAAAATAATGACCCTCCTTAGTTTGGTGGCAATCAGTTCAAGGAAGAAATGTTACCCTTGCAACTGGGTAGATGGCATACTTAGGCCAAAGTACTTGGCTGAATACCTAAAACCATTTAAAACAGGTTAGAGAATTATGTATCTTACTGTAGCAATTCACAAGGACAACAGTTGTGTGCAAAAATTATTCTACTTAAATGTATTTTGATTTCACTGGTATAAATTGAGGTTGAAACTAAAATTTTAGAGTGGGTTAAACTAAAATTTGAAAGTGGGTTAAAACATGGGTGAAAATACTGGCAGCCACTAACAAGTGTATGATACTTTAAACCCGCAAATTGACAAACTGACAGAAAGTCTGTGAAGTTCTTAAAGAAAATAATGCATACTTACGTCTCTCTAATATTTCTGTAATCCCAGCATTATCTGCTTCAAGTTCCATTTTAAATTTAGCGAGTTCCTGGTCCAATTTTCTCAAATGACGGTCTACCTGTTAGATGAAGCAAAAATAAATAGCATCCAGTTCTGGAACATGAATATCTACGTCCTTAATCTCAGGCATGCTAAGCAATTTTGTGCCACACAGCATTAAGCAAATAATGCACAGAAGGGATCTTCTTGGTCACCTCAATTTCCCTCACTTGGCAGGGACGCTGCTGTTAACACCAGAATAGCATAGGGAAAGCTCCAAGACACTTCTTTTTGGAAATAAAGATGAAGACTTGGAGATGCTCTGGTTATGCAGACTTAAAGGGGAAGAGAAAGAACAGTACATGACATGGACTTCAGTAGAAATTGGGCTGCTCTGGGGGAAAATTGCAAGTTCTGAACTGAAACCTGTGTGCAATTTGTGTGCCACTATAAACACCAGTAAATTCGGTAGGTAGTGAGTCTTAACTGAAAGTGGAGACTTCTGTGTGTTACAGCAAACTATGATGTACTCTTGGGTATCAAAATTAACCAAAAAAATTCTCAACCCACTATAATGAAAAGAAACACTACATTCCAAATGCTTTCTACATCTGTAATCATACTGGAAAATTTACCCATCTTTATTAAAAACTGGGAGGTTTTTCCAGTTACCAGCTAAGCAAAAGAGAAGGGGCAGTTCCAACTTCTTGAACAAACTTTTGGCTAGCTCTAATGAAACTAAAGCAGTTATTTTATGTCTTCTATATTTGAGTGTAGTCTGACTTACAGGTTCTGTTCTCTTGAGAAATGTAAAATAAATAAACTTTAAATCACATGCCATCCCTCTCTGGGTCTGGCCATTTATCCAATTTTTCACTCAACGAATAGTGCACCTGCCCAAGGCATGAGGAGCCAGTTTCTCCAGGAGAGTGCTGTAGGAAGCAGTGTCAAAGGCTTTACTAGAGTCCAGGTAGACAACCTCCACAGACTTTCCCTCAAGCAGGTCAATTCATCATTGAAGATCAGGTTAGTCAAGCAAGACCTTCCTTTCCTAAACCCACACTGCCTGGACCTGATCCCCTGGTTGTCCTGCTTGCGCTGTGTCATGACACTCAGGATGATCTGCTCCACAACCTTCCCCACCACTGAAGTCAGGCTGACAGGCCCTTACTTCCTTAGACGCTCTTTCTGACACTTCTTGTATGTGGGCATTAATTGCTAATTTCCAGTCTGTTGGGACCTCTGGTAAATACCCAAAAGTGGCTCAGTGACCTCTTCCACATCTCCCTCAGTGGGGAAATGTGGATCCCATCACAGCCCTAGACCTGTGTGTATCGAAGTGTCACAGCAGGTTGCTGGCCTCCCTTGAATTACAGGGACTTCATTCTGCTCCCCACCCACTTCTTCCAGCTCAGGGGGCTGGGTACCCTGTGAACAACTGGTCTGCTTATTAATTATTGTGACAATGAAAACATTAAGTACCTCTGCCTTTTCTTCATTCTCCATCACTATGCTTACCTCTGCATACAGTCAAGGATGGAGATTTTCCACAGCCCTTCCTTTATTGCTGACATACTTTTAAAATATTTTTTGTCTTTCATAGCAGTAATGAGACACAGTTCAACTTGGGCTAATTACCTCCCCACATAACCTCATAAAATCCTTGTAGCCCTCTCAAGTTGCCTGCCCCTTCTTTCCAAGGTGATACACTCTCTTTTTTCCCCCAAACTGAAGCCAAAGCTCTGTATTTAGCCAGGCTGGTCTTCTTCCATGCTGGCTTCTCTTTTGGCACATGGGGATGGGCTGCTCCTACACATTTAAGATTTCCTTCTTGAAGAATGTCCAGCCTTCCTGGCATCCTCAACACTGAATCACAAGGGATTCTCTCAACCAGTCTCCTAAACAGGCCAAACCCATGCATTAAAATCTTATGATTTCTAATACTATTTATCTGTTTTATATTTAAGTGACACTTACTACCCAAATTTCTTAAAAGTCAATAATGTTTCTTAAATGTTTCTTCCACCAGCAAAACATCTGTATGTAGATGATATAAAAGTACAAGAAGCACAACTACAGTGCTTACCAAAATGCTTAGAACTTCTTAGGGCATAAATTTAGGTAATTCAACACGTCTTGTGTCCACTTACCAGATCATATATTTGATTGGCCAGTTGCACTTTTTCATCTGCATCTTCCAAAGCTTTATAATAATCCTGTTATGAAGAGAATTTTTTTTAAATTATGAATGTAACTGAACTAATTTCAGTAAGTTTTAGCTGCTGTTATGAAGCACAAAATAGAAGTCAAAAGGACAAATTTAAGTCAGTTTTCAGAAAGACTGAACATTTACTGTAAACAACAGTCATCTGAATTTTAAATGAGAGATATACTATATATCAATTTATTTTCTCTCTCTTAGAAAAAGCCAAATTACAAGAAGGAGATACTTCCTACTAGAACGATATTTAGATTTCTGCAAGAAATGCTGCAAGAAATTAAACAATCTTGGATTTACTTTATATTACACAGCATCATGTTACGGACTTAAAATAAGACTGTGTCTTTTATTTTCAGGACCACCACAAATCCTACTGCTCCTCAAAATGATGCTGAAGTACTCTGTGGGGAAGCCCTTCCAGCACTCTAATTAAACAGGGGTAATAGTGTATATAATTTTAATTACTTTAAAATAAGTTTCTCTAACTTATAAGTGCATTCTAAATAATTTGACTAAAACAATCCAAAAGCCTCCTCTAACCAATGAAAATTCACAGACAAATTATTTTTTAAAAAAGGTATATTTTCAGATGTTTTTACTTTAGATTTGAATGGATTTTACTGTCTTTTAATTCTCAATTTCCACTGAATAGTATCTTCTGTGAAAACTACTTGAAATTTTGATTCAACTAAAGTCAGTAGAAAAATTTTCATTTATTCTAGCAGAGTCAGAGCTCTGACCTTTTTCTTTTTCTAGAATTTAAAATCCTATTTGTATTAGTTAAAGAAGAAAACAACCCTTACCCAGATTAGAGGCTGAAGTAGCCACTGTAGGAGACTACAAAGGAGTTTCTCCTGACAAAATGATGGACTACATTGCTAAAAATACCATCACCAATGCTCAAGTATTGAAGGATAACACAGAACACATTAATATTCATGTTCTCACTCCGCCCTCTCTCAAGCTAAATAGACCATATGTATAATGTGTAGAAAGACATAGGCAGAAAATCACAGAAAAGCTGAATCTAAGCTCGAAAAATATCCTTTAAAAGAAAGCACATTAACTTGGGCAACTTCATGTCACACAAACAGAAACAAAAAAATCTGAGCTCAAAATTTAGTACCAGGCTTCCTCACTATTTCAGGATTACATTTTTTTAAATGCTAGCAAGTGTTCATCAAAACTTCAGAGAAATTCTTGATCAAAGAAACCTTTCACTCACTTTTCTCCTCCAAGGTAGTTCCATCCACCTCTATGAAAGCCCAAGGGAAGGCACAGTTCTGAACACTTAAATCTCCCATCAATCATAAACTATTTTTTCCTAAGGTTGTCTTAGTTTGCAAAAGAAAAATCTGATCCACTCTTATGATATCCTTACTTTTTTGATTGATGTCATTTGTTCTTCTCTCCATTCAGGTTTGTTTTTCTTTGCATTCATAAAAAATTCATTTACCCTCTGCTCAAGCTGATCCATTGCATCTGTAGCATAGGAAAAGATTGAGACAAATGTTATCTTCTCATGTCCGTAAACATTAGAAAATAAGGGGAAATTTTTTTCTCAAACAAAGTTGACAGAACTGAGGTGCAAACTATTAGAGAGGAAAAAAAAGAAAAACCCAAAACAACCAAGCAACAGTGGACAGTGGAGGGAAATATTTACCTTTATTTCCAAGAAGCAGAATTGCAATCTGGTAGGATTCTCATCAAGGTTCTTGTGCTCTCCAGCATGGGACAGGCAGGACTCCAAGTTCTAAAGGTTTTTTGTCCCTAAGAGCAGTGGTAGTGACTTAAAGCACGACCCAAACTCCTCACCCAGGGCTCTAGACTGCTGACTTTGGAACATTCTAGCCAGTTACAAACTGAGCAGGAAACAAAATGTTCTCCTAAGAGAAACAGTCAAATACAAAACCAAATAATTGAAAAAAATTAGTGTCTCAAAAAGGTAGACCAACTGAAAAGCAAAGTCACTGCCCTTAAGTCCAGGGCCTCTCCAGTGTTTGCTAGGAAGGGTCAGGGCAAATTGAAAGCATTCACAAATTATTCCCTCCACCCCCAGAGGAGTAAATGCACTGATAAAGTATTATTTGGATGGGATTTTCACTTTCACAAAGTTGAGAAATATCATAAGGGGAAAAAATAAAACCACCCATTTTCTAACACTAACTATTTCTAGAAAGAAAAGTGTCAACCACATGCTATTTTTTTTCATTGTTTATTGAGACAGGAACAGGAATTCCCTTCCCTTTCCCTTCCACCCTTATCCCACTGAGTTTACTATTTCAACAGCTTGTGCACTCAGCAGCTTGCACATTTCCAAAACCATGCAGCTGCCTCAGTCAAACTAGCTTGGACAGCCTTGCTAGTGTCAGGATAGATGCCATTACTGAAGGTTTTTTCCCAGCATTCTCAGTGACACTGCCCAGCTATCAGTTTTAAATTAAATGTGACAATGCACAAATCACAAATCACCACAAATTCAGGCTCTGGGTTCAAAACACCTAAGAAACTCTTCAGAAACCACCACTAAAACTGGATCACATCTTGCCAAAACAAAATGCAAATTAATTAATTAGTTCAAGAAGCTCATGAAATGCTAAGTATGATTTACTGTGAAAATCCAATAGGCTAAGGGTCTTCACAACACTGTGAAAATTCACTGCTAGAACTGTTTATATAATAAACAACCAAAAATCATTCATACTCAATGATCAAAAATATTAATCAATTTTCCTTTTACTGGGAACATTCAGTATCAAACCCAACAGGAATCTAACAACTGACTGGACAGAGCACCATTAATCCCAAGACATAACAGTTGTGATGTTAAGTTCACATTAACTTTATTTAGGTCCAGACAAACAAAGCAGTGGAACAGTTCTGGAGTAAAACAGGCTGACCAATGAGCATTTTCCACTTGCATCATGTAGAGAATATTAAGAAGCCTGAGAGGCAAGCAAGAAGCACACACTTTATATGGAGGCTTCTAAAATCTTTGCTCTTTGACCAAATGACTCTAATTTGGTCTAAAAAGCCAAAAGACAAAATGTTCTATCTCCTATCCTCTGAGCACAAACACCTTAAGTGTTAGTTGTTCTAGTGGCTCCATAAAGAAGAAATGATAAAAAAGTATCTTCCCTCTTCACTTTTTATTGAGGACGTGTTATCAGTCTGGGTGAACTGCCTAGGGGAAAATTTCCACAGAAACTTGGTCTCTCCTGAAAGAGCAGAAAAGGCAAAGCCAAGTTCAGGTCAGGTCTATTAAACTATATGGAAAGTTCTCTCTGCTACACTCAAGTTCATCCATTTTTTCTTGTGACACTATATTCTGAGATAGTAATTTCTTAAGTTAAATTTCACAAGAGAGTTGCCAAAACTTCCATGAGAACAGTCCTTTCTCTAGATATTGACATTTTAGCATGAAATCCTGATAATCCATGATTTCAACTTAAATAAACACATTTAACCCTTCATGTGAAGCTCAGTTAAAGCTCAAGAGTCAAGTCCCAGCTCAGATGATCTTTGCTTTTTCCACAGCAATCTTATCAGAATATACAGCAGATAGACCCGGTTTTTTGTTTCTTCCAACTATAAACAGCAGAACCTGCCTCATTAGGAGTCAGTGTGGTCCAAACAGGACAGAATACAAAGTCAACAACGACACTGAAGCAGAGAAGCAGAGATATCTCTGAATTACTAATCATGTAGATCTCTGGGACAGCATCACTCATCAAAGCATTGTTTTCAAGTACTTCTGAGACACAAAACAACCTCCAGGTTTGCACACAGTGTTCATCAGGCAGTTGGGCAAGTCATGCTGAAGAGATGCTAGTGCAGAAGTTTCATAAATGTTTTTGGATACCTTGCCAATCTTTTCACAGAATTACAGAAGTTCCAATGTCTGAAGAAAAATTTCTCTACACCTAAGGTTGGTCCTAGTACACAATATTCAATGTCATTTAGTATTTTCAGTAAACAACATGGAGTGTTATTTGTAATTTTCGTTAAAGCAGAGAAAATTACAATCTGCTGTCTTGGCACTGCTAGCTGCCTCAGTTCTAAAACACACCTAAAAAAAAATAACCTAGTATTCTCTTTGCCTTCTTATGGAAGAGAAATGAAATAAAATTTGTGAACTTATTCCAAACTGTCCATGTCAGGGAGCTGCTCACTCCCCCTCATGATTCTCCCTGGTGATAGGGACTTCAGAGGTGCTATGTCCCAGGAGCCATGACAGTTCCCACAACTTTAAGCACTGAACCCAAGACAATGTTTAGGTGATAATACACACAAAAAAAAAAAAATCCTATAGACAGTTCTACATGTGTGTTAATAAGGCCTGTTAAACAGACTTGTTAGGTCCATTGAAATAAATATCCAATAGAAATCACTTTACAGTATTTACAGTATTACAGAACTGATCCCACTTAGTGCTGCATTTTGTACTCCTATACAGTATTCCATTGTTGTTTCAATCTCTGTTCTTTCTCTCATTCCCCTTTGCAAAAAAAGATGTTTGCTCTCATCTTTTGTGCAGTAGCAGTTTCATTAATCAATACTTTTTGATCACAGTTATAGCTAACCATATTAATTGTGTGTTAAAAGACTGCAACAGCTATCCTGGGTGTTACAGGACACCTAAGTTCCAAACAAGATTGCATTAGAAAAGATGAAATGGCAATGCAGCCTGAAAACAGCCTAAGGCAGTGTATTACATCAGGTTATAAGCAGAGATACAAAGTCATCTACAAAGAAACCTGATGCGTATTTATAAATGTATTTTGTATACAATATATACTTGTACAAAAGTAAGCATTTCTATAATTTGTATAAAACCGAGAGCATAAAGTATATTTGGTTGCATGTCAGCTAGGGCACAAAGGGCCGAGCAAATGGCACCTTCCCATGTTATTATTAGGGAGCTGGCTGGAAAGTTTCAGGGAGAGCATGCCGCTGCCTACTGGCAGGAGTGGGACATAACTCATGTTCCAAACCACCATCACTGCTCTTAGGGATCAAAAATCTAAAGAGTTTGGGACGTGCCACCGAAAAGGCGTCTGGGAGCAGCACAAGCCCAGAAGGCAGCTCCGCTAGGGCGCGGGGCTGGCCGGGGGCAGCCGCGACAGCGCCGGCGGCGTGCGCCCCGCCCCTCGCTCATCGCGCCGCTCGGCACGGGCTTGGCCAGCGGGAGATGACGAGCCGCGCTCGGGCCGAGCGCCGGGGCAGGGCTGGGGGCGCGACCGCCCCGGGGCAGCGCGGGAGAGCGGGCGGAGCCGCTGCCGCGGGCGGAGCCGCTGCCGCGGGCCGGAGCGGCGCCGCTTCGCCTCCTTCCTCCCTCCCTTCCTTCCTGCCTTGCCCGCCCTGCGGCGGGGCCGCGGCGGCGGGGCCGGTGCCCGCGGGGCGGGGCGGGGCGGGCGCGGAGGGGCGGGCGGAGGCGGCGGGGGCGGGACTCACGTACTCTGCACCTGCAGGTCCATCTCGCGCATCTCGGTGAACCTGTCGCGCAGATCCATGGGAAGCTGCTCGATCACTGCGGGGAGCGGGAGAGAGGGGGGAGGGAGAGAGGGGGGAGCCAGTCAGTCACTCGCTGCCGTGGGGGAGGGGGGGCGCCGCCTCCTCGGCGCGGCCTCCCCCGGCTCCCCCGCACCGGCCGTGCCCGGCCGCCCGGCGCCCCCGCCGCGCACACACTCACTCTCCAGATAGTCCTCCAGGTACAGCATGGCGGCGGCCGGGCCCGCGCCCAGGGGCTGCTCGAGAGCGGGCGCTCGTCCCTTCCAATATGGCGCCGCCGCCAACAACACCAGCGCCTCGACTCAGCGAAAACAACATTGGCGGCGGACGGCGCTCGCCGCGGCCGCGCCGCGATTGGCTGCTCGCGCCGCTGACGCACACTGCGGCCCGCGCTCTGCCGCGCGGCCTCACGGGAAGCGTAGTCTGTGCTGGGCGAGCCGGCAGGAGACTGCGCGTCCCGCCCGGCGTTCTCGGACCGGCCGTTCCCGTGTCCGGGGCCGTTCCCGCACTCCGGGGCCATTCCCGCGGTCCCGGGGCCGTTCCCGGGTTCCCGGGCTGTTCCCGCCTCACAGGGGCTGCGGCGCTCTTCTTCGGGAGCAGTTTTCGGCCCTTCGGAGCGTCCGGGGCGCGACCGCAGCGCCGCAAATCAGGCGAACGGGAAGGGAGAACTCGCAGATCCTTGACCACTCTCGAGGCTTTTGCTTGTCTGTTTTAGATGCTCGCAGCCGGCACTGGCTTATTAAAAGCACTAGAAACAGCAGAACTAATGAAGTTGCTTCAGTCCGTGACCTCTGACGGCACAAGTTAAAAAAGCTGCTCCGTTCAGAGCAGGTCACAGCTACGGACAGCCTCAGGAGAGGGCTTTGGGATTGCTGTTCAGAGTGTAAAACCAAACTTGGCTAAGAGCACTGATTGCCATCCAGTTACAATACTTGCAGTAATTCACTCGTTTGAGACTGGGTTTTTTCAGAGTTTTATTCCCCCAAAGAGTCTTTTTCATCACTCTTCTATTGCTGTTATTTACTGCTTTAAGCATGGACTGATGCATTTATCCAGATCTGGGTTTTTTGCCTGGGGAAAGAAAATTTTGGGTCTTGTATGATGCCAGGTGTAAGTATAGGAGCATAAGAATTGTGGTAACAGAGGAGGCTTGCTTTCTATTGTGCTTTTTGTTTCCATGTCTTTATCTGTGCCAGATGTGGCCAAGCAAAAAGGAAATGTATGCTTAAGCCAAGTATGAGTAAAACTTGTATGGGATGTTTTTGAGAGCCAAGACCAATGGAAAGTGGTACTTCTCTCATCTCTGAAGTTCATGTATTGAGAGTAGTTAGTTAAAGATGACTGAATTTTGGGAAGTGAAACAATACATTTTGTATATAGCCTTTATGATGACTGAGGGTAGTAATGTGTTGAATACGCATGGTATAGCAGGCATGTTGAGGGGTTTTAATTCCTTTTGTCATTAAAGATGGGGGAGAATGAAAAAGGTGTAAAAATAAGCTCTCAATAACTTTTCAACTTTGTGAAAAAGTGCTTCATCAATATGGTCACTTTCCATACTCGCTCCATCATCAGCCACGTAGTCTGCACTTCCAAACCAGAAATATCAACTACTCTTACACATAGAAATGAGAACAGATTTTAGATGGTCATTAAGCTCAGTTAGTCTTAATAGAAATAATTTCTTTATTATTGCTCATACAGATCTCTTTCCTGTAGAACTGACTGGTGTAGGCATAACAGTATTTTTAGAGTTTTGTGTGGGAAATTGCTTGACCCAGTTTGGTATGTAAAACACAAGATTGACCCTTTGTGGGAAGATAAATGCCTGCCCTTACTGAAATGAAAGGGTTTGATGCAGCAGGAGAACTTAATCCATGCAAAAGCACAGCAAAGTAACAACATCCTATATTTATTAGGAGAAAAGCTAGGTGAATTTAGGGGAAATCTGAATTGACAGCATCACTTTCTTTTGTGCTTAGTTGTGGCTTTAATGATTTTTAAAGAAAAAAAAAGTTGTACACATGCTGGGGAGCACATTTCATGCAGCTGAAGTCTAAGAAAAATACTGTAAACAAAGACACCACTTTTAGAACCACAACTGAAATATGGTCATAGAGTAAGTCCCTACCATTTGTCACATGACCAAAAATCCCAGGACAGCACAAACACTGGGACATTGTGACTTTTCCTCTACTCATCTTTGCAAGCTTGGGGTTAGCTAGCAAAATTCTCAATGAGGCTTACTGTGCCAGGGTATTTTATGTATGTTATGGTGCACAGACCAAGGAGACCAAGGAACACAGCTCTTGGGGTTGTGTCTCAGCCATTTCCATTAGTAATGGCATGTGCTCTGTGTCTCTTAGTGAAACAGGAAAATTAAGCTCTAGTGGGGCTGGATGCTGTCTGCAAGTTCAGAACTCCCCCTGTTTATGTGTAGTGGTCTATTGTAATGTGAGTCTCTTATAGAAATAGAGACCTGCTCAGAAAACTGTTTGCTGTTCCCTTTACAGTAAGGCATGGCAGGGGATTGTGAGGTAAACTACAAAGGAAAATACAATTCAATGTGTTCACTATTGAAAAGAAAACAGGAACTTATTTATCTACCTGTGGTCTTCTTTAGTACTTTTAGACAAATGAAAAAGCTCATGTTTTTCCTTTCTGCCCATATTAACTCATTTTGTATAGTCAAATGACTAGCCACACCAGCTTCAATAGGATTGCTTGTGTCAGAGCTGTTTATCATGACATAGCAATGGCACTGAGTTTAAGGTGACATTTAAGAAGTGATAAGCCAAGAGACCATAAAAAAGAAACTGTTTTTACAATAGAAAACTTCCTGTTGTTTATAAATGCAAAGAATTAACTCTATTGATTAACTCAACTTTTAGAACAACCTAATTAGAACAGCTTCTGATAAGGAAACAGGGATTAATGACTGTTTATTGGAATGCAAATACAGTGAAAAAGAACTAAACACCAGCTGTGAACTCAAGGTAAAAAATTCAATTTGTGAATTACAATCGACATTGCTCAAAAAACTCCTTTGCAGCTACAGAGCTGCTTAGCACAGGAAGCGAAGGGAGACCACAGGAGCTGCTGTTTTCTCCTGTTTATATAATGTTATTAATGTTGATGGCTTTTCTCCAGCAAATGTTTCACATAAATCATGTTTCATCACTGTGACGGAGTGATGACACAAAGGAATATTATAGATGCCCTGTGATCTACCTAAAGCTAATTGCTTGCCTAGGTTCCATTAGTTTTCAGCTGACAGGAAAAAAAAAGCTGAAACATAAATTTATGTTCTGATGTGCACTTCTCAGATGAGGGTTATGATTTTCAAATCTCCCTCTCTCTGCACTTACCCATTCCATATCTCTGTAATGTCCTTTTTCTATTCTAATTGCTTCTATCTCTTCCCATATGTAGAGCTGTTTGACACATCTGACTCCATCGTTTCCATCTTCGTGTTGCAGCTGCAGTCTATCTGTTGATACCACTCTTTCCTTCTTCCTTCCAAATCCATTCAATCTTCTGAGCTGTATGATTGATTGCTGGAGCTTTCTGTACGCGTTTAGGACTGCCACGGTTCTGTATTTACTTTAGTACTCTGATTTTAACTCTTACCTAATACAGCGTTTCTGGACTTACAGTCCTTACATTTTGTTTCTTTGTTTTCAAAAAAGACACATTTCTAAGGATATTATTTGAAAAAAAAAAAATCAGGAAAGACCTACCTAGCCCATCCCTAGATTGTTATTCCGGGTCTCAGCTACTGCTGGCAGGTTCCTGCACTGTGCTTTCTCCCAAGCAAGCCTCCCTGCCTGTGGCACGCAGAGGTTGCGATGTACATCTGTGTGTTTCTCAGGGCTCTCAGGACTTCAGACAGAATGACAGCTAAGTGGCATCCACCAGAGCCTACATAAAACTGCAAGCCTGGGTAGCTCTTAAACTACCAGAAAGGAGCAGTTTGGTTTTCTTTGGCACCTGCTCCTGCTGCACTCCAGCAGTCCTGTGAGGCAGGCCAGAATCCATTCACCACGGTGCACTGCTGCGAGCATGTGTTGTGGATCGCACAGTTCCCAGCAGTTCTGGCTGCCATTGTCAGTATCAGGCCTGCTGGTCTCCTCACATGCTTTCAACTGTTTTATTGTAATTCCTCCTCACATCCTGTTTGTTGCCTGCTATTTTTCTGCTGTTGCAGCTGTTTTTTCCATTCCTTCCAGTCCACCCAGTTTTGCAGTCCAGCTGTCCCTCCCAGCTGCCATGGACTCCACCATCTCCCAAATTCCACCCTTTCTGCTGCTGCAGGGGCATCACCCACAGCCTCACTTTCCCTCTGCAGGAAATAACTATCATTCCTGCTGTACTGCACACCATGGCTATTGGAGGACATTAGTTAAATAACTGAATTGTCTTGAGACTGAGCACTGTCTAAGGATTACAGCATGATTGTATTTTTTCTGAGCAATCAATTTTATGTAATAGGAAACTGCATCCAAAACTGGATCCTAGGAAAAAGCTGTGTCAGAGTTTTAAGTACATAATGTTATCCTAGTTTAGTGCAGCACTATGCAGGAACTTCACACTTCCATAAAACAATCCCTGAAAAGGGCAAATTTGGCCCAGAAATATTGTGCCTGGATGTTAATCTCTCTTGAGAAATCAGTTTCCTTTTCTGCTGATTACAAACTCTTGGATTCTGAGATTCACATTCCTGTTTCTGGAAGAAAATCCATAACCCCAGATAATTAATTTGTTTTAACAGTCAACAGGAAAATGGAACTGCCATTTATCTTTCAGCTTGACTTTGTGTACAGACTCAGGCAATTATATCTCCTTCTTTTAGTTAATTTTATCTACTACAGAGTCAGTTAAATTTGCTTGCAGATTTCAGTTATTTCCTGAAAATCTGCAGGATATGAGCAATTGCTGTTTATATATTAATCACTGAAATGTTTTATCCTGACTTCCTAAGGAAATAAAGCTTACATGAGCAATCCATATGTTTATGTGAATACTTCTTTATCTGGTTTTTTTTCATTCTGCTCTGTCTCTATAGAATTGACTAATTTCAACCTAACTGAAAAAAAGAAAAGTTGCTCTTTTAGAGATTGTGTACTTATTAGATGCTTGCCTGCTGCTAATAGTTAGGGAGTTTTTCTCCCTTTCACTGAGGAAAGGATTGCAATATGAACCTTCCA